AATTTTCGAGTATAAATAAAAAAGGAAAAATTTTTATCCACCAAGGGTTAAACAAATAATTTTGTTACATAGTTATATTGCAAAAAAAAGGTTATTATTATAGCTTGATTGATTCTGGCATATTACCGATTGTTTTTCTGCGACCATGGAGATACATAGTTATAGCCTGTTCGGCCAAGCTTTTTTTGGGTCGGAAGTGCCTTTTTTGGTCAAAAGTGATTTTGGCCAAAAATTGAGGTGTTTGGCCAAGTTTTTAGAAGGAAAAAAGTACTTTGAGGAGAAGCAGAAAAAAATAGTTTCTCTCCAAAAGTACTTTTCTGAGAAGCACTTTTGAGAAAAATACACTTAGAAGTAGGGCCGCTTATCGGGCGAATTGGGCGGTTTTACTCTTAACGGTGTGGCTTATCGGTTATCGGCTTTTAAATGTATTAATCCGCTAGCCACCCGATAAGATATCGGCGGATTGGTATCGGTTTAGCTCTTATCGGACGGTTATCGGGCGATTTATCGGCCTAATTCAATCAAAATAAAATAAAATTTAGTCTCTGTATGTTTAAATAGGTGGTCGACGTACTAAGAGGGACGAAGCAGAAGAGGCACCGTGATGGGTAAATCATCTGTCTAGAATCTTATTTATGTTTATGCACATTGGCCTTAGTCCATGTGAAAGATTTCCAATTGGCTATTGTTAATACAAATGTTCGTCATGCTTTGAATTCTAGGATGCCTTAAAACTGTCACGACCCAGATTTCCCACCCTCGGGAGTCGTGATGGCGCCTACTAGTGAAAGCTAGGCAAGCCAACCAGTTGAATTATTTACCTTGTTTCCATTTTTATTCCGTTAACAACTAAGAACCAACATTTAATAAACAACAGAATTTAGTAAGCGGAAGAGTGAATTGCAATGTTTTAATAATGCTACCAATACCAATTCATAACAAATCTACCCAAGACTGGTGTCACAACTTCATAGACGGTCTAGGAGTACTACAAATAAAGGTCTGAAGAAAAGTAATACAACACTGTCTCTGGAAATACATGAAAGAAACAGGATAAAAGATAGAAGGAGACGCCAAGGCCTGCGGACGCCTGCAGGACTACCTCGGGTCGCCTGATGAACAAGAAACAGCAATCTCACTGCGGTCCGAAAGCTATAGCACCGGGATCTGCACAAAAGAGTACAGAGTGTAGTATCAGCACAACCGACCCCATGTGCTGGTAAGTGCCTAGCCTAACCTCGGCGAAGTAGTGACGAGGCTAGGACCAGACTATCAAATAAATTTGTGCAGTTAAATCATATACAACAGAAACATAAAAGCAGAAATGTACAGTCAAGGATGGGAGGGGGAAACATGCTGCGGGGAAACATCAAATGAATACAGGAGAACAACAGGTATATATAAGGAACACCATAACTCAATTTTCAACAAGAATCAGAAATCAAACAAATGCACGGCATCACCATTCATGCTTTTACACTCGTCCTCACCATGAGAATCAATATAATCTGCACGGCATCACCCTTCGTGCTTTTACTCTCGTCCTCGCCATAAATATCAATATAATCGGCACGGAATGGTACATCGTGCGGCACGGCATCACCCTTCGTGCTTTTACACTCTTCCTCACAAAATCATACACGACATCACCCTTCGTGCTTTAACACTCTCTCACCAAAACAATGCACACCCTTCGTGCTTTAACACTCTTCCTCAGCCAAGCAACAATCACAAAGCAATAAGGGCAAGGAGATCAACAAATTCACAATTAAATCCCGGTAAGGGAACAATAGTACAACAATCATATCCCGGCAAGGGAAAACAAGATCAAAACACTAACGTCCCGACAAGGGAGATAACATTAACAACAATATCCCAACAAGGGAGACAATATCATAATCCTCTTTCTTTCTCACATTTACTTCACAACTCGATTCACAATTTGAGCCAATGCTCTATAAGGTTCAATTACCAATTATACTTCCACAAATCACTTTACAACTTGAGCCAATGCTCTTCAATGTTCAGATACAAATATTCTTTCCACAAGCCTTACTTAATAATAGCAATCATCACATTAAGCATGAACAATACAAACGGAGTCACATAAATCATAACATAAGACTCACGGGAATGCTTGACACCAACGTATAGATACTCGTCACCATGCCTATACGTCGTACTCAACAAATAACACATAGCAAATAGGACACAACTCCTAATCCCTCAAGCTAAGGTTAGACCAAACACTTACCTCGATGCCACGAACTCAATTCAAGCCTCAACTACCACTTTACCTCTTGATTCCACCACCAATTCGCTTGTATCTATCCACAAGTTACTTAACTATATCAATAAATGCTAAATGAATCAATTCTAATGCATGAAAATAGGTTTTATAAAGTTTTCCCCAAAAAGTCAAAAATAGACCCCGGGCCCGCTTGGTCCAGACCTGAAATTCGGACCAAAACCCGATTACCCATTCACCCCCGAGCCCGGATATATAATTGGTCTTGGAATCCGACCTCAATTTGAGGTCTAAATTCCCAAATTTCAATATTCTTAGGTTTTACCCAAAATTCCCAATTCCACCATGAAAACCCTAGATTCTAGGATGAAATCTTGTAAAAAGAAGTTAAGAAGTGAAAGAAATGAGTTTAAAATCACTTACTTGTGTTTTGGGGAAAGAAAGAGTGCTTGAAAAATCGCCCTTTATGTTTTAGGTTTCTGAAAATGATAAAATAACTGAAAAGTCCCGTTTATATACTCCTCTCAGACCCTCACCGCGGACCGCACAAAATGGGATTGCGGTTGCGGAGCTCCACCGCGGACCGCAAGAAATCGAGCGCGGTCGCAAAGGTAAGGCCTTGACCCACCGTGGACCGCATATTTCCCTCCGTGGTCGCGAAGTCCCCACCGTGGCCGCAAGAAACCACTGCGGACCGCATGGTCTGGTTCAGAGATCTGCAACTTCTCTGGACCTGTAACAGCTATGATCTAAGTCTAAATTCACTCCGTGGCCTATCCAAAACTCACCCGATCCCTCGGGGCTCCAAACCAAACATGCACACCAACCTAAAAATATCATACGGACTTGCTCGTGCAATCAAATCACCAAAATAACATCAATAACTATGAATTAATCCTCAAAACTCATCATTTTTCTCAAGAAGACTTAAAGTTCATTATTTCTCAACCGGACGTCCAAATCACGTCAAATAAACTCCATTTTTCACCAAATTTCACAGTTATCATTTATATACTATAATAATTTTGTACCGGACTTCGGAACCAAAATACGGGCCCGATACCAATGGTTTCAAACATTAATTCTTTTCTTTATTTCATAAATAATTCAGCAAAATAATTTCTTTCAAAAAATTGATTTCTAAGGCTTGGGACCTCGGAATTCATTTTCGGGCATACGTCCAAGTCCCATATTTTACTGCGGACCTCCCAGGATTACCGGAACATAGATCCGGGTCCATTTGCTCAAAATGTTGACCAAAGTCAACCATAATCAACTTTTTAACTCTAGAAATTTCTATTTCTCATATTTCCACATAAAAGCTTTCCGGATATACTTTCGGATCACGCACGCAATTCGAGGTGAGGTAAAATGAACGCAGAATTTACTTATAAGCCAAGTGATGACCTTTTGGGTCATCACAAAAACCCAGGCAAAGTTGATGAAGCAGTGGTTTAACTGGTGTTGTTATCTTGTTTCAGACAACAAATTCTGTCTTTTGTCACAGTAGATGACTCCTTTTATTTGGCTTTCTTTTATTCTAATTCATTTTGATAGAGTACTGGAGGAAGAAGGATTTTTGATTATTTAATATATACATATAAAATATATATTTTATATGTATATATATATATATTCTTAACGGGTTAACGGATTATCCGTTAAGAAAATTGAATAATCCGCCCCCAAACCGATAAGCCGTTAATAAAAAAAATTTCAATCCGTTCCCCGTCCGTTAAACCGTTAACCCGATACCAATAAGCCATTAAGCTTCGGTTTCGGTTCGGTTTTCGGTTTCGGTTCGGTTTTGAACACCCCTACTTAGAAGCAGTTTTCAAAAGCTTAACCAAACACTAATTACTACTCAAAAGTACTTTTCAAATTAATTAGCCAAACACAAACTGTTTCTCACCAAAAACACTTTTAAAAAAGTACTTTGAGAAAAACACTTCTCAAAATAAGCTGATTTTAGAAGTTTAGCCAAACATGCTATTAGTGTATACACTTATTTATAGTTGACTTTTAATTGATATGATTATACAAATATTTTTTACACTATTGATGAATAAATATGCACAAGATGCAACTATCATAAGATGTACTTAACTGCTTGTCTTGATGCTAAGGCCTAAGAATTGTGTGCTTGTCTTGAAGCTAAGAATTGCGAGGAAGAAAACAAATAGCCGTTTTTAAGATTGCTATTTAAGATTTAGCCAGTACTTAATCTGAAAATTTGAATTAAAAATCATAACTTCGGGATTTTGTGTCCTGAAAAATTGTACTGGAGAACTAAAATTTAGGATACATTGACTAATTCTAAATAGCAGCCCTCTAGAATGGCTACGTGGTGTCATTTATACCTAAGGTAAGAATTGTTTACATGTTTGGGTGGGATTGTATATGGGCTATAATTATTTTTTTTTTAAAAAGAAAGTATTTTGATAAATGATTCCCCATTTACATTTTGTAAGTTTAGAGTTCTTTTCAATTTCTTTTTCCTAATATACTGTCCGCAATCTTGTCGATTGAAAACGAAGATTCATTATCCTTGTTAGTTTTAGCTATTCTATGTTTCCCAACCATCAATCAACTGCTTTTTTCGATTCCAGATTAGCTAGGATCAGTTTTAACCTTTAAGAATTAAAAAAAATAAAAAACATTTGTATCCATTACGTCTTATTAGTCTCATTTCATTTCAATGCTAAAACTAGACAGACAACATAGAGATGAACCAGGAATTGAGTCACAATTATAGGGAGAAAAAGTACCATAAAGTCAAATATGAAAATTACAGCATTTATAATATAGAGATTCTCTGAGTTTACCAATTGTGATTTACAAGACTTCCCCAGTTTTCCCCTTTCATATTGTGAACCTAAAGACAGCAACACAAAGTACAAACCTTAAATCAAAAGACATTAACAGTAACATCCAACTGCACCTTTTTTTTTTTTTGTGATCCAATTACACAAGCAAATGAAGGAGATACAAAGATTATAATAACAAGACGGGTGAATGAAGGCGCTGTAAGTAGTAGTGAATACTTTTTTCATGGCGAAAAACTCTTCTTTAGTGTCTACGAATAACGGAAGCAGACAGAACGACCAAGAAGATCAAGATGACCACCGTGACAAAGGCAGCCACCACAGCTCCACTGACCCGTTGGCAGAAATCACCAAATTGCTGACAGATTGCTAGCCAATTTGCATCTTGGTTTCCATTGTGAGCCAAGTACACTATGGCTGCTGAAGAACCTGCTGCTCCCGTTGTCAATGCAATAATCACCTTCAAAATTCTCAAAGCATAACAATTTAAAAAAAAATACTCACAAACTGCAAAACTTTAAATATGTGCAGTAGATCAATTGAGCTCAATGACAGAGCAGTGACACATTGTAGTGTAGGGTGTTTTCATTTTTGATCGAATTCCGTTTAGTAAGCTTTGAGATTTTATAGAGGATGTTGAGAATCGTCATTAACCAATTATGTATCCAACACACCTATCCCTTGAAGCAAGTAAATGGTGCAACGATGCGGATTTGACCTGCACCCTTTTTCTTTTTCATTGATACGTTCAAAATATTTTCATTTTATATGTGCCAATAGCATATATTTAAAAGATATGCATATATATACTACGCTGGCTTGATAGCTTGAAAATAATATAAACATATACGGAGTATATATTCATTTGGGAGGGAAAGTAAAGTCTTAAACCACCTTAATATTCGACTATTAAGGGGCCGTTTGGTTTGAAGACAAGTTATGTTGGGACTAGTTATGTTGAGATAAATTTTTCTAATATTATTTTTTATTGATTTTTTTTGTACTTATGTTGTATTAATCCTCTGATTGTCAATTTTACTGCTTTATCCTAAAATAACTTATCCTGGGATTACGCAGGTGTAAATTATCCCGGTAATATTTTTAAACTTAGGATAACTTATCCTAGGATTAGTAACCAAATAAGGGATAAGGCGGTACTAAATTTTTATCAGAATTATTTTGCTTATCTATCATACCAAACAACCCTTTAATAGTCGAATTATGACATTACTTGCACAAAATTCTATGTACGTCACTCCTTTGAGTTGTTATGTTACTATGGATCAAATTAGAGAAGAGTTCATACCGTGTCAAAGATAATGAGGAGCAGCCGGGGTACAACTGCATGGGGTCGAACAATGCACACTATAGAGAAGGGTACAGAGAGGACGAGGTAGGCAACAACTATTGCCATTGCTACCACAAAAAACCTGTTAATTATAGCAAATTAATTCCATATATAGAGTACGTAAGTACATATCATGCATATAATATAAATAATTATGAAAAGTAGGTAATATTGGATGTTTGATTTGCTTACGTGAAAGTTGGAAGATCGTCGTAACTGGCTTCGAATTGAAAGAATTGTGTGAAGAAAGGAAGAGTTTCTTCAGTGGTTGCCATAGCAACAGCTGCACCTAATGCAGAAGCAAAAGCTGCAATTCTTAAAATGAGGTCAAAAATGGCAATGCCTCTTTTGGCACCACCCTTTGCATGTTGAACAGCAGCAGCAGCAACCACAGGAGCTGTTCCCAAAAGTGGGGCTTTTCCTTTCCTTTCTTTGTTGGTTTCCACAACATCAATCTTTGTTGACTCACTTTTCTCCATTTCCAAAGAGAAGAAAAAAATTAAAGGAGAGATTTGAGTTTCGAAAGTTTTGATGCTTATTTGTTTTTCTTGATGATTTATGCTCTGATTGCTGGCTTGTGGTGAGAATAGCAAGATGGGATAGGACTTATATAAGGAGGTTTTTTAGGATGGACTTTGAAGAATATGTTATATTTATTGTACACGGGAAATTAAAAAAGTATAGTGACCGTTATTATTATTCAGGTAATGGAGCAAGAAGAGTGGTTGCATATGATATTGGGATCAATTTTACTTAAAATTATTTAGTTTTTATTACAAGTGTTATTATGTGGATAATGGAGCAAGAAGAGTGGTTAGCTAGTATAGATGCTCAAATGTGATTATTTATGATCTCAACATTTGAATCAGAAAGCAAAAGGCGATGATGGAGCAGATAGATGGGGAAACGATTGGTGGACCTAGTTTGACCACACAAAAAAGAAGTAAGAATCACTTTTAACATAGAATAGGTGATGCACAAAAATATAATTTTGCATGAGTTTCAACTAATCAACAAACTTCTACCCTAATCCATTAAGCTGGTCAATTTTATTTTGTCCCACTTTCCCGTAACACCTACCCCAACTATTATAATTGTATACGATCAAAATCGGGCTGGCCTAATTTTGTATGACTAACTAAAATCGGGGTGGCAAATCAAGGCTCGGTCTCGGTTATATCAAACGATGGTACGAAGATGGATTGGTGAGCTCGTCGATCAATGGCCGATCAAGATCGAGACCAGCCGGGATCGACACCAAAGCGAGAAAGAGATCGAAGGGAGCCTGCTATGTCGAATAACTGAAACCCGAGATATCCGTGGTCGGGCAAGGATCGTGGCGGAAATCTCGGCACGTATCAAGCCAGGACCGGTTATTTAGTCTATCATAGGATTTGCTTCTGTAAGTACCATAAATGGAATTCCTCTACTATATAAAGAGGGTCTTGATCATTCTGTAACCATCATACATTCACGCATAACAAGGCAATATATTATATTTTTTCTCTTGCAAGCTCTGTTGTTCAGTTCATACTTTTCAATAGCATACTCAATTGGTTCGAGGGCGGTTTAGCTCGAGGGCCACAATTGTTCATCATATTGGTTTGCTCTATTTACTGTTAATTTCTAACATTAATTCTTATATTTATCTGTTTGTGCCAAGTGAAATCACATATCCTTAAAACTACTTATAAGTTTAATTGTTATCCAATTTTAAGGGTAAATAATTTGACGCCCACCGTGGGGCTAAGGATAATAGTGATTGCCTGGTACAATTTTTGTAACAAACACTATTTTACGCTTGTTCTTTGAAGTGTCTTTGATTCTAGGATCAACATGTCAGACTCTCAAGTAGCACCCACACACACAGACAATGGCCTTGGTCTCCATGACGAGAACGACAACGTAGCCGCCCCAGGAAACGGAGTACCTCCAGTCAACCCCGATGGAGCCCCGGTCGTGGACCCAATCGAGGTCAGCTCCCATATTGCCATTAATGGGAATTTGGGCGTCGATCCTGAAAATAGCATCCCACGGAGGTTCTCGAATAGCCGATTAGAACGCACAGGGCAGTGATGAAGGCGGGATTAGCCTTCAAATGATATTCGAAATGTTGCAGACTCAACAAGCTGCAATAGCACAACTCCAAAATCAGAATCGTGCACCAAGCAGGATCGAGCTCGAGCCATCACAAGAAATTATTCAAAGAGCCGAATCGGTGCCAAAAAGATCGAATGGAGGAGAATCGGAGACTAATCCTGCTATCGTAAAGATGCCGAGGAACTGACAAAGCGAATCGAGATAGGGGAAAAGAAGATCGAGGAAAATGATAAGAAAGTGAAAACTTATAATTCCAGGGCCGACCAAATCCCGGGGGCACCACCGGTGTTAAAAGGACTTGATTCTAAAAAGTTTATCCAAAAACCTAACCCCCCGAGTGCGGCTCCGAAGCCAATTCCCAAGAAGTTCCGTATGCCCGAGATTTCGAAGTATAACGGGACGATAGATCCAAATGAACACGTAACCTCATATACATGCGCCATCAAGCGAAATGACTTGGAAGATGACGAGATTGAATCCGTATTGCTGAAGAAATTCAGGGAAACTCTATCGAAGGGTGCTATGATATGGAACCATAATTTACCACCTATTTCTATTGATTCGTTTGCCATGCTTGCAGATTCTTTTGTAAAGGCACACGCCGGAGCCATTAAGGCCGCTACAAGAAAGTCGAACCTCTTCAAGGTAAGACAAAAAGACAACGAGATGCTCATGGAATTCGTATCTCGATTCCAAATGGAACAGATGGATTTTCCATCGGTCACCGATGATTAGGCTGTTCAATATTTTACTCAAGGTCTCAACGCTCGGAGTTCCGTAGCTTCACAGCAATTGAAGCAGAATTTGGTCGAATATCCAGCTGTCACTTGGGCGATGTGCATAACCGGTATCAGTTGAAGATCAGAGTAGAGGATGATCAACTGGGGGCTCCAACCGGGTCGGTTTATCCTAATAGGCCCGTGGAAAGAGTTAAAAGGGACTTTGACCGGGAACCACGGTTGATCAGAGACCGATATCAGCCATACGATGGAGATCGGAGAAATAACGGACCTGGATGCAACCTCATTCGGAGTGATAGAAGGAATGATCAAGGACAGAACTCCCGAGGACTCATGAGTAAGAGTGGTTTCGATAGGGATGCCGGGTCCAAAGAAGTGCCTCGATTGTCAGAATATAACTTCAACGTAGATGCTTCCGTCATAGTATCGGCCATTGGACGTATCAAAGATACTAGATGTCCTCAACCTCTGCAAACCGATCCGGCCTAGAGAAATCCAAACCAAATATGCAAGTATCATTGTACCCATGGCCATAAAACAGAAGATTGCAGACAGCTAAGGAAGGAAGTACCCGATTGTTCAACGAGGGTCACCTTCGAGAATTCTCAAGTGATCGGGCCAAGAATCACTTTAAAAATAGAGATTCAAACAGACAGAATGCGCAAGAAGAGCCACAACACTTGATTCACATTATCGTTGGAGGGGTCGATATTCCTCAAGGACCAGTATTTAAACACACCAAGGTGACGATCGCAAGGGAAAAGCGAACATAGGACTACTTACCGGAAGAGACCTTGTCTTACAACGACGAGGATGCAGAAGGGATCGAGCAACCTCATAACGATGCACTGGTAATATCTGTCCTTATGAATAAAATTCAAGTTAAACGTTGTTTGATTGATCCAGGTAGCTCGGCCAACATTATTCGATCGAGGGTCGTAGAACAGCTCGGCCTACAAGATCAAATTGTGCCCGCAGCCCGAGTACTTAATGGCTTCAACATGGCGAGCGAAACCACCAAAGATGAGATTATTTTGCCAGTGAACGTGGCCGGGACCATCCAGGAAACAAAGTTCCATTAATCGAGGGTGACATGAGGTACAACGCCCTGTTCGGAAGGCCTTGGATCCATAACATGAGGGCAGTACGCTGGACTCTTCACCAAGTTCTGAAGTTCCCAACATTTGAGGGAGTCAAAATCAGTGTAAGGGGAGCAGCCCGCCGCCAAGGAGATGTTTGCAATCGTTGAAATGATACCGGTTTCAGTACTTTCTTCAGCAAAGGGATCAGATTCAAAGGGAAAACAGGAGGCTAAATAGCAACTACAGACACCAGCCTCGACCCGACCGGAGGATCGAGGGGCCGATGAAGACGATGACTATGGGATACCTCGATCTTTCATAGTTCTCGATGACTCCGAGCCACCGAATCAACGGTCGAAGAGCTGGAACAAGTCACACTGGCCGAACATCAGCCCGAACGAAAGGTATCCTTGGGCACAGGGCTAACTCCCAAGCTCAGGAAAAAACTTATTCATTTCCTTACAACTAACATGAATTGCTTTTCTTGGTCTCACCTCTATATGACAGGGATCCCGCTAGAAATTACCACTCACAAGCTAAGCCAAGATCCTAAATTCCGCTCGGTGAAGCAAAAAAGAAGGTCCCAGTCCGAGATTAAACATGCCTTCATCAAGGATGAGGTAACCAAACTTCTCAAAATAGGATCCATTCGGGAAGTAAAGTATCCCGAATGGCTAGCAAACGTAGTGGTAGTCCCTAAGAAGGGAAACAAACTTAGAATGTGTATAGATTATAAAGACTTGAATAAGCAATTCCCCAAGGATTCTTTTCCTTTGCCTAACATCGATCGTATGATCGGTGCCACAGTCAGCCACGAGACTCTCAGTTTTTCGATGCCTACTCTGGGTACAACCAAATACAAATGACCCAGAAGATCAGGAAAAGACTTCTTTCATCACGAAGTATGGCACCTACTGTTATAATGTAATGCCATCCGGACTAAAAAATGCTAGTGCAACCTATCAACGCCCAGTAAATTGAATGTTCGAAGAACAAATAAGGAAATCTATGGAAGTTAATATGATGACATGCTAGTTAAGTCCCTGCGAGCAGGGGACCATTTAAAGAATTTGCAGGAGACCTTTGATATACCAAGGAAGTATAATATGAAGCTCAACCCAGAAAAGTGCACGTTCGGGGTTATCTCGGGCAAGTTTCTCGTCTTCATGGTGTCCAATTGGGGGATCGAGATCAACCCCGATAAAATCAAAGATATTGAGGATATCAAGGTCGTAGATAATGTAAAGGTCGTGCAGAGGTTAACCGGGCGCATAGCTGCCCTGGGGCGATTCATTTCGAGATCCTCAGACAGGAGTCACCAATTCTTCTCACTGCTTAGGAAAAAGAACAATTTTGCATGGACTCCGGAATGCCAGCAAGCGTTGGAGGGACTAAAGCGGTATCTATCGAGCTTGCTGCTACTTCATACCCCGAAAGTGGACGAACAACTTTCCTTGTACTTGGCCGTATCGGAGATAGCATTAAGTGGAGTCCTGGTCTGAGAAGAACAAGGTACGCAATTCCCTATTTATTATGTTAGTCGGACCTTGGGTGAGGCCGAAACTAGATATCCACACTTAGAAAAGTTAGCACTTGCTTTAATAAACGCCTCTAGGAAACTAAAACCATACTTCCAATGTCACCCAATATGTGTTGTGATAACTTATCCTCTTCGAAATATCTTGCACAA